CACACACACACACACACACACACACACACACACACATAAATAAATAAAATTAAAAAAAAACTATAAGGTAAGCATGAGGCTTATCAGCAGGCATTATTGGGGCACCCTTAGGCTGTGGTAGGGGCGTCTCGGCTGCGTAGTAGGAAGTGAGACAGCTTGTGGCAGAGGTGGACACAGATTGCCTGTATCTTTGTCTCTTTTGTCCCTCCAACAAGATGGCACATGTTTTGATGCCAAAGCCTAGGACTTTATAGTTTATTTACTTATTTTAATCTTTTATTTATGTGGTACAGTGTCTTGCTACGCAGCTCAGGATCATAGTGATCCTCCTGTCTCAGCCTCCCCAGCGCTGGGATTACAGGTGTGCACCACCACGCTCGGTGTCGGTGGCCCACACAGCACACCCTAGAGGGCTGGTGTGGCATGAGTACCAGGGATCGAACACAGGTTCCTGTGCATTCCAGGCAGGCGCTTGTACTCCTGAGCTATCTCCGCGGATCCAGGGTCTTTAGAGTTTAAATCAGCTCCCAGTCCTGCCTCATGCTGACGGGAGTGCTCCAGGCCATGGGAGATGCAGAATGACTCCCCCCTGCCCCCACAGTGGTGGCCCTGCAGATGGAGATGGAGAGCCTGGCCCTGCAACTCTTCTACATGCAGAACATCGACCAAGACCTGCACGACGACATCTGCGTGATGAAGCAGGTGGTGAAGAAAGCCGAGGTGGAGAGGATTCGGGCAGACCTGGAGAAGAAAAAGCAGGTATTCTGCAACCCCAGTGCAGGTTTATCACTGACCTTTGACTCTTTGAGCACTGCCATGGAAGGTGGTGGGAGGGTTCGTGTCGCTTGTCCAGGTGGGTGCTGACTATACCTCCTCTCATCCTGCTTCTCAGGACTTGTACGTGGACCAGCTTACCACACGGGCCAACCAGCTAGAAGAGAACATTTCTCTGTTGGAGGCTCAGTACCTTGCCCAAGCTGAGGACACCCGGATTTTAAGGAAAGTGGTGGGCGAGGTAAGGGCAGCCCCACAACTGAGAGGAGCAGGGGTCCCCAGTTAGTGTGTGCATATGATGAAGGCATGGTAGCACCAGTGGTGTCCTCCTCAGCGGCAGTGGCGGCGAGGCTCCAGCCTGAGTTTAGAGAGGGCCTTATACACTGCTTCTTAAGCAAATGTGTGTCCTTTGCCATCCCTGGTGGAGGCAGGAGGCTCTAGAAGATTTCAGCTGATTGAAGACCCCTGGGTGGGCTGCAGGATCCCGGAAGCAAAGGATTCCACTCTCGCCAGCACTTCCAGTAGCAGCTTGCTGGGGGATCCTAAGCAAGTTCCTTAGCCAACCATGAGCCCCTTTCTTGAAGGACTGGAGTCTTCCTAGCCGCTCTCTGTCCCGTGGGCAGCCAGCATTCCCAGGCAGCGCCCACCTTTCCCCTGAGCACCCGAGTCAGCTCTGTGGAAACCAACACTGTGATTCTTCTTGTCTGTGTGTTGTTTCCTTTCGCCCTCTGCATTCACGTGTAACGGAGTATGAGGAAACAAACTTTTATTGAAAGAAAGAAAAGCATCTTTGACCAAGGGACAGCATGCCTGGTCTCAGGACAAAGGGAGGAGAGAGGACTGCATACCACAGCACCGGTGCACACCAGTCTGGAATTAAAATCAATCTGGAATGTGTTACAGGCAGATTTTTTTCGGTGGAGGGAGCAGTTTTAAAATTAAGGACAGCGAATTTTTGATAGGCTGAAGATAGGGATGTAGCTCAGGGGCAGAAACCTTGCCTCACATACATAAGGCTTTGGGGTCCATCTACAGTGCTGGGAAAAAGGGAGAAGGACACAATGATTCTTGAGTGTATCTGAAAAACACATTAGGAAGGCTAGGCAAGAACTGTTTTAGAAGGGAAGGTTCCCAGAGGGTGACCAGCTGTCCCAGTTTGCCTGGGACCAAGGGATTTCCTGTTTTTTTGGGGGAACCAGTGATTGAACTCAGGGCCTTGCACTTGCCAGAGAAGCGCTTATTCCACTGAGCCATCTCCCCGGCCCAAAGGATTTCCTAAGATACTGGACTTTGCACACAAATCAGGAAGAGTCCTTGGCAAACCGGAAACGAGGTTCACCCTGGCACTGCCCTCTCGAAATATTAAAATATACCATAAAACTCTAGGTGCCAAATTAATATGTTACGGGAATCAGAATAGACAGGCAAGGCATGGCAGCCTGGCATGGCGCATAGCGCATTCCATAGCTTACAGATGAGCCGAGAAAACTGTTGGGACACTTGGCTAATTGTTTGGGGGGAAATTAAATCTTGTCCTCATATGAGAGAATCACATAAATTCCAGTCGGAATCAAGTATGTAGATGGGGAGAGATGTAGCAGAAAGAAACCCAAAGGAAAACGTTTGCCTCCCTCTGGATCTAAGAGCCCTTCGCACAGCACAAGCTGAAAGCACACAGGGAAGGGTCCCGAAGTGGATGTTACTGTAACAAAACCTCTACAGGTTGAGGACACCATGACTGAAAGGAAGACGGGGAGCCACCAAGAGAATATAGACTTAGAAGCCACAGCAAATGTGGGGCCTGTCTGCGTTTTTTTGTTTTTTTTTTTCCTAATAGCACAGTAGTGTGGAGAGGAGTTATAAAGGAAAGTGGTTGATGTTGGCTCGCAGCACTGGTCCAGAGGTGAGGGACCACCGTGGGGAAGCTTCTGCTCGGTGTGATCCTGCCACAGTGCAAGGAATCACCTGGTGAGAACAAGAAGCAGGGGACACCAGCCATGCCGGCTTCTGTGGACACAAGCTCTCCATCCGTGGATTAGCCCTCCCTCGAAGGCAGGCCCCATATCTTAACATCTTTTGGGCTTCAGTTTCTCTCAGGGGACCCCTGGGAGAGTATGGGCACACCCACACTCCTACAGTGGTGTGAGAAGGCTCCAAGGGGAGATAAGACACTGCCTATTTGTGCCCCTGCCCCTCTGTCCAGCAGTGGCCCCAGGGCAGCCTCAGCCTTCCTTCCCAGTACCCCCAGTGTTGATGGGCATCAGACACACCGCAGATGTCCCCAAATGACCCAGTGAGCAGCTAGTAGAAAAGGCGGGTGGGTCCCCACCAGGCTGGCAATGGTGAGTGACCAGCAGGAAGCTGGGCCCCCCAACACTGACTGTCTCGGGGTCTTCATCAAGGGCAGTGTTTCATTTGCAGCACGTCCTCTGGAATGCCATTATGTGGACTTCATTCCAAGGATCCGATCCCACCTGCATGCAAATGACATGTTTTGCAATGCAAACACCAGCAAAATGAGAAAAGACCAACTGGGAAAATGCTGCCCATCCATGTGTTATATGTGTTAGGAAAGATGGTGTTAGTTGAACAAACAAGGTTGCGTGAGCAAAGAGTCGATATTTAGTGAGATGGAGATGTGCACAATGTGTGACTTCTCATAGGTTGCAAAATGGTGTCTAGAGTGTGACACCCTGCACACATGCCCATGTGCACACAAACACATCTACGGGCCTAGGAAGTCACCATCAGTTATCTCTAGGGGGACTGACATTTATATTACCCTTTGGCTTGTTTGCATGTTCTAAATGCATGGAATGTACCCTTATTTTCTTTTTGTTTTTTAATGGAGACTTGGTGTAGCGTGATCTTCACCACTTTGACCTGCACATGCTGGCAGCTTCGGGGAGTACCGTGGGCTGGCCGGCATCACAGGCCAGAAGGAGAGCAGTCTGGGAGATCCAGACGCCCACTTGCTAGCTTGCCAGTCCTTTTCTGCAGGGCGCACCCTGCTTGCTGACACAGAGCAAATGCCTTAGTTAATAACTTATGCCGTACAAAAATGGCCTATCTAGCTCAGCACCACTGGCTTGCTGAAGGCATGGTAATTGGGTAGGAAGGTTTGGAGAAGACATGCCCAGTACCCTGCAAACTCTGAGGGCAAGGCAGGGCTGGGCAGCCAAGCAAGGAGGAAGGCAGTGCTGCCCCAGGACTCAGGTCACAGCTAGTGACATTGAGCCACCAAGGCCTAAGGTGTCCAGAGCCATTGGCATGCTAGCTCACACCACCCCTGAACCTCTGTGCCCCAAGAGCAAATGAACCAGTGTGCCCTTGGAGTAAATCCCACAAATACTTTGCACTTTGGGCATGGGCTCTTGCAGGCAGGCAGGGGTTCAGGCCCTGCATTTGTGCTCAGCCTGTGTGACCTCAGCCCCTATCAGTGACACCCACCAAGTCCCACCTTGGGGTCAGGTGCGGGGCAGTGCTCCCTCGGTGCCAGCCACCTCCTCCTCTTCTGTCCTAAGCACTGAGCACCCAGCCCTCACACTGAGGCACAGATGGAAGCTCCAGGCTTCTTTGGAGCTGCGTCAAGTTTTCTGTTGTCTCTTTGCTCCTGTATACTTAGCAGAAATGGGGGTAAACTGAGGAAAACTTGGGTGGTAGCAATCTTCACCCCTGTGTGTCCCACCCCACTGCAGGCCACCACGGAAATAGATGCCATCAATGTGGAGAAGAAGCGCATCCTGCAGCAGTGGGCCACAAGTCTGGTGGGCATGAAGCACCGTGACGAGGCATACAGGGCCATCCTGGACGCACTCAGGTACGGCCTGGCTGCTTCCATCTTGGGGCACCATGGCATGGGGTGATACGTGGCTGGGGAGTGCATAGGAACCAAGAGGTATGCAGCAGGACCCCTCTGCTCCTGCCTTCCTTCCAGTGCCCCCCACCCCTGGGGCAAAAGCACCCACGACCTCCTGGAGCCTGGAAAGTTCACAGTGCTGAGGACTTAGCCTCACTCAGATCTCTTATGGCTCCTGTGGCCTGGGTGCAGCACAGCCTGCATGCTCAGATCTCTCGGCAGACTAAGGAGAGGGAAAGAAAAAGGGGTGCTGGTTTCTGGAGATGAGGAGGTCCTTTCCATCCAAGGAGCCAGGGAGATAGCTCTGTAGAATAGGCGCTTGCCTGTCAAGTGGAAGGTCCTGAGTTCAATTCCTGGTACCACAAGAAAGAAAAAGAAAAAAACTCTCAAAAACCATCCAGTTTCACCATCTGAGTGTGGAAACCTGCCTTTGTGACTGTTCATCGGAGGGCTGCGTTCCTATCGAAATCCTGTTTCAATTTCCAGTGAATATGGAGGAAGAGTCTTCCTTTGGGAGCCGTGTCAAGTCCAGCGAGGGAGGGATTTGGGGCTTGGGGCAAGGGACAGCCTTGGTTCCCAAGACCATAGGGAGCTGGGGTCTCCATGGGGACCCAGAGAGCAACAGCCGGGTACTGTGTGGCCTGTGTGTTGAGCTCTCTCACTGCCATGTGTCACTGTTTAATTACACAACCAGTCAGCTGTCAACTTGGAAGAAGGTCAAGGCCAGGGTTCTCCCAGAAGGCCGGGCACGGCTAGCTGTCCAAGGCTGAGGGCTTCTGTTTCCTCAGGCGCTGCTGTGCTGAGGGCCGTGCTTGGTGCCACTAGCGCTGCTAGGAGAGACGTTTCCTTCTTAGTCCCGTGGTTAAAAACACAAACACTGAAACATACGTGCCTGGGAGACTGAGGCTCAAACCCAGGATCTTCACTGAGCTACATCCCTTGCGCCCCCCTTTCCCCTTTTAAGTTTTTAAGACAAAGTCTCTCTAAATGTAGCCTGGGCTCCATCTTGCAATCCTCTTTTCTCAGCCTTCCAGAGTGCTGGGATCACAGGTATGTACCACCATGCCCAGCTTTAAAAAAATTTTTTTTGGATTTGTCTTGTTTTGAGATGAAGTCTCACAGTGTTCCTAGCTTCAGACTCAGAATACTACAGCCTCATCTCCCCAGTAGCAGGGTTACAGGTGTGACTGGGATGTGTGTGTGTGCACACGCGTGTGCTCAGTACCAGGGATCAAACTCAGGACCTTGCACTTGCCAGGCAGTGTGATTGTTTTTAAACAAGTCCTCACCCCCATAATGCAGGATTAAAAACACCCATTCCTTTAGTGACCAAGAGAGGCCTGAAGGTTTTTTTTCCCCTTAAATCTACAGCTTGAGAAATCCTGGCCTCCTGGGGGCCTCTTTGCCTTCTGTGCCCTCCTTGGGTTGCTGGTTGTGGCCTGGGCCTGCAGATTGGGGACAAAAGATGTACAGCCTACATGGGCAGCCTTGTTCTCCTGCCAGTCTGGTGTTCAGTTCCTCACTGTTTAATTGTACAACCAGTCCGCTGTCAGCTTGGAAGAAGGTCAAGGCCAGGGTTCTCTCAGAAGGCCCGGCACGGCCAGCTGCCTAAGGCTGAGGGCCTCTATTTCCTCCAGACCCAGGGAAGGCAACACCACCAGAACATTCGTCTTGTCAGGTTGCCCCCTGCCCCCAGGAGCCACCACACCCTCTACAAAGCATCCGCATAGCCATTCCCGTGTCCTCTTGATGGATGCCCTCTTTATCTTTGAAGTTTTTGAGTAGGTAACATTACACACCGTGAAGCCTTCCCCTCCCAGGGCCCCTGACGCTGGAGTCCTCCCCTCAGCAGAGCTTTTATTTCCTGGTCTCCTCCCTGGCTTTCCAGGCACCCGCAGGCCACATGTGGCCCTGTGTACACACACAAGCTCAGGTTTCTCTCCTGGGTCATGGGTACACGTCACTTCCCCTTCCATACCTTGTTTCTTTTTATGACGCATGCTCCAGGGCAAGGGATATAGCTCAGCAGCACAGTGCCTGCCTGGCAAGCACAAGACTCTTACCTCAATTCCAAGTGCAGAAAATAAAATAAAGTAAAATAGTGTGTCCGAGCTGTTCCCAAATGTTCCACCTGCTGGTTCCTCCCCTTTGGGGGTCCTGGCAGTGCTGAAGCTCCTGCCTGGGCATATTTTGTTCATCCTACTGAGGAGCTGCCATATGTCACCATGGCTAGGATTGTTCTGCTATGCCGAGTGCCATATAATTTCATAACACTGTCCCCACACAGTGTCCGGAAAGGTTCCCCAAACAAGCCATGTGGACCTCACAACCCACCCCAGCTGCCAGGCGGGTTGTAGGTTCGCTCACTTCCAGCACAGAAAAAGAATTTTCAGGACATGTCAGGGACAGGCATGGCAAGAGTGTGAGGCAGAATTTAAAAGTACACCCAGAGTGGAGTGGGACCCTCAAGAGGGGCTCAGTGGGGTCTGGAGTTGAGGGTTTTTCCTCGCGCTTGGGAGTGTCTTCAGATGGGTGATGTAGGGTGTGTGTTCCTATCAGGGCACCCATCCAGTGGGCATGGTGAGGATGCCGACCTTTTCCATGTGTGGAAGACTGAGATTCACCTCCCAACTGGGATGTCACTGGGGTCAGTAGGAAGGAGAGCAATTTTTCGGCGAAAGGCAGGGTGCCTGAGTCCCACATACAGGCATCTTGTGTCCTTAGGACCCTTTTCAGGAATTTCTTTTTCAGTGAGGAAAGTTTCATGGAAAGAAAAAAGCTGGAATAACTTGTGTCTTGCATCTGCAGTTTTTTAGAAGTACAATTTCAAAATTACACTTGTCCTTGTCTCCTATCTCCCTACCCTTCCTTCTTCTGTCCTACCTTAGAATTCTGTCGAGCCTTAGAGCTTCCGGCTTCCACAAAAAGCACAGCTGCAGGTGTCACCCGGGAAGGTGGTGACAGGCACAGTCCCACCTGCAGAGATTCAAACTCTCAACCACTCAGCCTGTGATCACACATTAGGATTGTGCCAGCTGGGTTGGCAAGAAAGGAAGACACCTTGTGTTTTAAGATGCACATGCACCATACTGAGCGAATATTTTAGCAACACACACACACACACACACACACACACACACACACGCCACCTGGAGCCCTGAGCTGACCTGCAGCTGAGATACCGAGGCCTACATCAGGGAAGCTCTTATTCAGAGCACACAGGTCGGGAAAGGCTCTGTGAGGACTGTAGGACGCAGACACCGAGCGTCTGAAGGGGGAAGTGGGAGACAGGTTTAGCAGAATGCCAAGGGGATGCAGACGTAAACTGTTTCCTTGCTCAGCACTTCCAGGCCAGGAGCGCAGGGACTGTGCAAACCGGCTGCGAAGGTGACTTGCTTGTGCGCAAGTGTGCAGAGTGCTTTAGGAAATGAGGGGAACTAGGGACATCGTGCTCAGCACGGCAGGGCCAGCGCCGAGGCAGCTGATGGACACTGGGGGAACCTCTGCCCTGTGGGTGCCACAGAACAGTCCCACTGGCTCAGAGCAGTTTTGTCGTCGTGCTGGGAACGTGTCTGTCTGATGGGAAGGTTGTGTGAACTAGACTCACCAAGAGCCAGTACGAGAGTGAGGATGCTGGTTTCTTCCTATCCATTAAGAAATATAGGGGCCGGGGAGATAGCTCAGTGGAATAAGTGCTTGCCTGGCAAGCACAAGGTCCTGAGTTCGATCCCTGGTACCACCAAAAAAAAAAAAAAAAAAAAAAAAAAAAAAAGAGAGAGAGAGACAGAGAGAAAGAAAAAAATAAATATAAACGCCAAGGGACAGATGTCCCATCAGTAGACCCACCGTTCACAGCCATGGGTGGACGAGAACAAGAGACCAAGACTCTAGCCTGGTGCCTCCTGCTGCCTGCACCCTGCTGGGCCAGCCTTTGCTCCAGGAGTCTGCACCCTTCCCACTGTGCCACCTGTCTCACCCCTTCTGACACCATGGCATTTGATCAGAAATATTAATCACCTTCCTGAGGTTCCAGCCCAAACCTGCAGGCGCTCTCTCCTGTGTATGTCTCTCAGTCTTACTCTAGAAAAGGGATCCCCAACCCATGGACTGGGGTTAAAAGATTGTTCCATGACCTGTTAGAAACCCAGTGGCACAGCAGGAGGTGAGTGGTGGGTGGACAAGTGAAGTTTCATTTGCTTTTACTGCTGTTTTCCATCTCTGGGATTGCAGCATGGCTCCGCCTCCTGCCCGATTAGCAGTGGTGTTAGGTTCTTGCGGGAGCACAGACTCTGCTGTGGACTGTGTGCTTGAGGGCTCTAGGCTGTGTGCTCCATATAGGAACCTAATCCCTGATGATCGGAGGTGGAGCTGAGGCAGTGATGCTAGCGCTGGAGAGTGGCTACAAATACAGACACATTAACAGAAAAGTTTGACTGCACAGACCCCAAATTAAATCAAGTCCTCGCAGACTCGACTCACATCAAAACCTATCAGTGAGTAGCAAGTTATAATTAAGCATATCTCTTGACAGGCTTTAATTCAGAATGCAACACTTGGGCCGGGGAGATGGCTCAGTGGAATAAGCACTT